ATACCAGCTTTGGTCCCATCAGCTGCACATGTTGTGTGCCGCAATATTTGTACACTAATGGGCTCTTTGCACCTACGGCGTTGACGTCACATCTCCAGGAGCTAATGCGGCTCACTTGTTTCCGCTTTGAGTTACCATGACTGGTAGAAAAGACTAAGTCGTATTTCAGATGCAAAAAATGCAATACTATGAACATTGTTGTCTTCCTAATATAATGGGCTTTTAAGTTTTCATTAATTTCCAAGCGATCCTGAATTAAGAAGATGGCTTGTAAATATCTGTCGCCACCAGCTAACACCGCACAGCAAAGTTTGCAGCCTTCACTTCACTCCGGATCAGCCTAAAACTACCGGGGATATGGATGATAAATAAAGGAGCCTCCCTGAGTTATTTCCATGGAATCACTTCTGTATTCAGCCTGAAAGAGTTTATGGGAACGAGTGAGCAGACCAGAGCCAGACAGCCGAGCAACTGATCCGCCTGTACACACTGCTGTAAGCACGGTCCTATCTGAGCTCTTCACAAGAAACATGCAAAGGTAATAAAATGAAATAACACAGAGACCTTAAAAGACACGGTCATATTTTCTAAAAGCAGCAACTTTTAACCTGAACGGTCAGCGGAACCAGATCTCTGACACCAGAGCTGCGCTACTGTTAAGCTATGAGGCTTGTTGAGCTCCGTCAGGCTTCGGAAGTAAAAAGTCCGAACCGTAACCTCCCCATTAGTCTGTGACACTAACGACAATAAACACACATAATATACCTGAAAATTAGGTAAAAACATTGTCCGTTAGATTGTTTAGATACTAAAATAGCACATTTTACAAGAACAATGTCCGACAATATTGCCTACTAGCATAAGCTAACGTTAATGTTAGCCACAAAGTTTAAGTAAAACTCACCTTTGTATCAGTGAATGTATAAGGAGGCGAACATCTAAAACCTTTCTCCAGCTGACTTGTTGGGGCTTCGGATCGATGTACAAACTTTGGCCAAGCCCTAGTGTAAAATGATATTTGTATTGGATCGGAAACAATCGAGCCGCTTTTCCCCGAACGCGGAAGCTGAGGTGCAAAGAGCCCATAGAAAGTTCGTTGTCCTTCGGCTCTTGTGCGTCAGACCAAACTTTCCCTGTTGTATTAATCACCAGCAAGTAATTATTGGACATCCAGGTGTTGAAGGAGCAGGTTCTCCTGGTCACGGTAAAAACAAGGGCGGCGGGTGGACGTTAGCAGCCATGCTAATTCAGCAGGAAGAAAGAAAAAAACCCCACGAAAAATAAGGAACATTCTTGAATAACTCGGTACATTAATTTAACGTAACTACATGAAACACGAACTAAACGAAGGCGCACAGTACCTTAAATGTATTCTTCAACGTCATCATTATTCTCGCTCTTTTTACCGTTTCTCATTTACTCCTTGTCGGCAGCTCCACCTAGTGGCCTGGGGTGATTTAACACGACATAACACACGTCGTGCTTTTTCAATGACTGCATTCATTTCGACAGACTCCAACACACACCTACATATTTTCCCATGCACATAAGTAAATTGTCAGGGGTAATTCTAATGACATAACTTTGAAGTGTTATCTCAAAGATGCCTGAAGTAGTAGAGTAGAGTAAAGAAAAATATCTGCTCATGCTGATCCCATGTTGGAAGTGAACTCAGGCCCTACTAATGGGATGAGTACTTCACAGCGTGAGGCAAGACAATAAGATGCTGCCCCTGGGAGCCACCAGCTTTGATAGCAGTCTCTTGCTTTTTCTGAGGGATCAAAAAA